GATCTGTCTTCTCTGTCCAAAATGTGAACATTGGCATCCTCGAAGGAGTGACCTTTGTCCTTTAGATGCAGGTGAACAACCGAGTCTTGTCCTGCTGACGTGGCTCTTCTGTGTTGTTTATAAGTATGTTAGTCTTTTTAATCAAAGCAAAGGTCTGTTCAATATTTCTCATGCAAACTAGTTGTTCATATGAGTAGTTCCAGTAACTTCAATCACTGCAGCTTAGTTTTTTAGTTTTAGTTTCCCCCTCTCTATGAACTGACTTAGGCAGACAGCCCTTGAGATAAAAAGTGTGTGAGGCTGATGAGATTAGGGTTTTTTTCCTCTGGGATTGTTTTATATCAAGGCCTTACACCATTGATACCACACTGAAAAGAGTGGTATCAATGGTGTAAGGCCTTTTAAAGACATGCAAATCCATTCAAAGTCACTGTGTTGACTTTAAATGAATTACTGAATGACCTCATTAAAGTTGTATAACCGAGGAGTAGCACGTACAGGACCCCGTGTTATTAAACCTTGACTGAAAACTACTGTAACGATACTCGGGGAGCATCATTAGCAAGTATGATCTTGAAGAAAACAACCTGTATGATGGTGCTCTTTAAATGTTTATTTTGCCTTAGGAGTAATTGCTAGAGGATAAACATTGCAATGCAGTATATTGCTGTCTTAAACTTTGAAATGTGACTTTGAGAAGTTTATACCGCAGGACCAGAGTAAACATCTCGTAAATGTGTTTATGGGATTAATTATATTTTAAAGACAGCAGGGGGAAATCTGATATTATTGTTGCAGTGTTTTATTGTCACCAAACATAAGGCTCATTCCTCTGCAGCGAATGTGGCATCTGGCACCAAAGCCATCAGTGAATATCTATTAGCACTTCATGCTTATGCTGTGGTAGCAGGTTTCAGGTAAGCTTTCCTCTGTTGTGCAGTAATCATAGATAAGTCTTTATGTTGACAGTAGGAGAAACATGCTCCACACTTAGCATGACTCACTGTGATGATATGGGAGACCTTGTAAAATTGATTGGAATCAGGGGACATTTATAGACTTGGGTTGTAGAGCCTTGCATGACATGATCTCCAACACTTAGATCATGACAAATATGGGCACAGCTCCTTCTTCTTGTCTATCCTACACAGCGGTTACTGGCTTCCAGTGTTGGGAAGGTTACTTTTAAAATGTATTCCATTACAGATTACAGA